CGGTTTATTTTTTTATTCATATTTTTTTCTTTCTTGTGTTTTGTCTTACACTCCCTTCCCATTGATTGTAAGCCGCCCTGAGTCCCCTCAGGGAAAAGGGCGGCCTATAAATGTCAATAAACTAAACTAAACTAAACTAAAATTCTTTTTCAAGAAATATGACAGTTAAATACTTCTGAAACTATTCTAACTTTCTCGGTCCCTACAAACTCAATTTTATCTTTGGGATTTGTTTTTTACTCTTATGACGTCTCATTCGCTAAAAGAAAGTCTAACAAAAAAAATCTAGATGTTACTTGGAATTTTGTTAAAATTCCATGTAATTAAGAGAAAGAGACTTCATCAAATTCAATTTTTACAATTAATTCCTCAGTTGCTTAAATATTCCAAGTTAATCAGCTATTCTAAGATAGCAACCTGACCTCTTGTGCTCTCTGTTCTGTAGTTAAGACTTCCCATGACTTGCATGATCTCATGGAAGAATGCCAATTCATCAGTTTCTGGGGCATCAGCAGCCAATGTAGGTAGAGATAAGAGGACAATTGCAGCAGTATGATCAAAATCCATCCCTTTTTATACCTGTGTGGTATTGATGAGCCTAACAAGAAAGACTTGATACATTCAAAACTGCCCCAGCAACTTCCTTTTTAAAATTTTTTAACTATGCATGCCTGTGCTTTATTGTTTGATATGGCCCAGAGGTCTAGAGAAGTTGCTGTCCCTTGATCTACTTGAAAGAATAATATTCCTTCCCCAAACAAACTCAGGAGAGTTTACATGCAATTTCCTTCCTTTGACTGTATATTTGTGCATACTTGATTCAGATTAGAACTTACTATATTTATAGTCTCTTTTTTTACCTTATTGTTCTAAATTGAGTATACCAAATCCATTTACAGTAAAATTTAACTTTTCATAAACTCTGGAGCCTATGTGGCTTTCATTCTTACTGAATTAACTATTACTGAATTGTAATAGTGGCTTTGTCATCCACCTTTGAATTGGAATGAAGTATGTTTAATTTGAATTGTGTGCTTCTATTAAATAAATGCATTTATCATTTATCACTTACATCACGTAATACCACTTCTTGGGGTCCAATACCTATCAGACACAGTCCAAAAACTCTATTTCCATTTCCTTAGTTATTTTCAAGAAAAATATTTGGCTTTTATCAAATTCCAGGGAGAAAATATTTTTCTATATTTGAAAAAGAAATATTTGAGAAATATTTGATATAATTTCTTGCCAGCTTTTCTCAATCAAAATCAGTGAGGAAGCTGGCAGAAAGTTGCAAGTCCCAGAACTAGAGACAGGTTGGTGGTTGCTGCCAGATAGGAGAAGGTGCAAGGGTAAGTGTGAGGGGCATTGTGTGGGCCAGGGAAGGTGTGTATGGTACACAGGTAGCTAGCACAGCTTGAGCACAGAGGAGCTGAGGGACAGTGTACTGTTGGGGGAAACTTACCCCAATGATTTGAAAATTTATTATTTTTGAGGTGCAGGAGGCAGCGAGCATGGTCACCTTATGGCTGCTGCTGTGTTGCAATATTTTCAGGGAGGGCTTATTTTCAGGGGAGGGCTTATTTTAGCACATGCACTCAAAAGCCCAATTCGGCTTATTATCCGGGGAGATCTTATTTTCAGAGAAATAGGGTAGCTATACGCTTCTTTTGGCAGAGACCTGTCCTTTTATATTCTGCAAGCACAGTAATGAAGTACATATAAAAACAATCCAGTCTCGCACAATGAATATATTTACAGTGGATTTAATGAAAATGTATCTTAAATTACTATTGACCTCTTTCTGTGTCTTATCAAGATAACTTTGATTTCTATACATTTAGAATCTTTATGTGGCAAGTTTCCATCATATGAATTTACTTCCTGTCAAAACAACTTGAGAAAAAGTGACTGTACCCCAAAACGTTCTGAGTGGGGTGAATGTGTGTAATAAACATATATGATAACATAGTATTTTTCATAATGTGATCTATACAATTTCTCATACTGATTCTGATTCCCACTGAAAGCCTAACTGGAGGGTTTTAACTTTTAGAAGTTACTTTTAACTCTTGACCTAATATGAACATCATCTTTTTATGTTTTCTCACAATGAACAACCATTGATAAATGTGTAAAATCTACAGATGAACCTGGGTTCATTATAGTATAAAAATGCCTTACTGCTTGTTTTTTTTTATTATTCTAAGTAGCCTTGGATGTCATCTTGGTCCCCAAATAGGGCAAAAACATAATAAAATCAAAAAGAGACAGAAAGCTATTTAGAAGAAAATCTTCCTGAATCCAATAAGTACCATGTACTTATAGGTCTGAGCCTCAAATAGCAAAGAAAAGCATTCATGGGCAAATAACAGATTCCAGAAAAGCAAGATGAGTTTGAAGAAAAAGGTGCTTATATAGTACATACCCAAATACACATACTGAAAATTAAGTCTGATTGTGCTAATCTGGAAGAATATCATCAGTTGTTTGGGTAAAACTATTTTCTTGGCCACTGGGTTAGAGAATTTATTTTACTTTGAGAGCCAGTGTTAGCTGAAGCTTTATTTCAATGCAGATTAAAGTCAGCTGATTTCTTGTATTGTACCAGCCAAAAACATTTTTATCCACAAAGGTCCAATGTTTCTCCTAACAAAATAGCCTACAAATAACATCAGATCTCTGCATGCCTCTCTTTCCATTTCCTGGAGTTAAGGCAATCTCATTACTTGAGATTTTTGTGATGGGAAATCCCCGAGCCACCCTAGTGACAGCAACAGATGGCTCAGGGGCCCTTCTATTTCACTAACAGCAATCTCGTTTTTACCTGCAAACTCCAAAATCTGTGAATTAACTTTCACAGGGGCTATCTTTAAAACAGCCTAATGAAACTACACTAGGCCATTCCTTTCTATATGTCCTGTTCCCTTTTAATTTCAGAGATCTCAGCTGTGATTGACAGTACAATTCATTGCAAACCTGTTGTTTGGCACTAGGAAATAGCTGATTTTCAACCCACTCATGCTTTATAAGCACAAAAGTTTGTCTCATACATTTGATGCTACATAGCATTATTTAAGGTATCCCCAAGGACAGAATTTAAATGACACATACAAATAATAATTTGATGTAGATTCCAGTTCTGAAATTCTAATCCAAATTCCCCATTGGCCTAACCTTTCCTTTAAAGACTCCATTAAGAACAAGATGGTAGAGAAACTGTTCGAATTTAACCCCCCAAGCATCTTTTTGTATTTTTCAAGTTGAAAAGCACACCTGCTGCGATTCCATTTCCTTTGAGCATTTTCTATTCACCATCTCTCCCCAGATGTTTGTTCCTCTGCATCACACCTTTTATTTTGAAAGAAAGACTGAAGTAGAATTCGTCTCTCTAATTGCGGGGCGGTTTAATTTAACCCCCAAAGCCATCCCTTAATTCAATCTGACGTGTGTTTGTGTTAACAAAAAATCCAATTAGCATTTCATGGCGTGGATCACATTTTTTTCCACGCAAGACATCAATAAAAAAGGCTGATCACATGGCAATTGCTTGATGCACTCTTATAAACAAGGAGGCCTCTCGATGCAAAAGCATAGGTATCTCTAAGCATTCTGGGATATCGCTCGTAAAAATCCTTCTTCCCGAGGGGGCTAGCAGGGCCGCTCTCCCGGCAGAATGACAGTCGCACCTGCTGGTGCCCCCTCCTTCCTCCTCCACCCCCCTACCCCAGCCGGGGTCTCTTAAGAGCCTGTTGCAGAAAGGCTTGAATCGGGGCAGCCTCTGCCGCTCGGGCTGAGCCGCCCTGCAGCAGCCAAGCTGTCACCGCCAGCTCTTGGAGGCAGCCGCCTCCACCTCCCTCGCACCCGTCAACCCACCCAAGGCCGCCCAAGCCTAGCGATCGGAAGGGTTGTGGAGGAGGCCAGAGGCGGATGAATGAAGGGTGGTGGGCGGCGGAGGAGCCGAGGGAAAGTCCCGGTTCCAGCGCCGGCTTCCTCAAAGCTACACCTGCGGGTTTGCCTCTCGCTTTAGCGCCTTTCCCCACCCACCCCCTCGCCATCCTTCACGCATCTGCCCCCGCTTCCAGCCCGGTGGCCAGCAGGTCTGCCGTCTTTCATTAACCCGAACAGCAGCCCCCGCTCGCTCGCTCGCTCGCCCGCCCGCCGCCGGCGCCGGAGCAGCAATGTCGGGCCCCCAGCCTCATGCTCAATGGTGGCGAGAATCAGCCGCGAGGTTTCCGGGCACCCAAACAGCTATGAGTCCCGTTGCTTACCTTGCGGGAGAGGAAGGATGCTTTACCCGGCCTCTGCGGCTGGGCTCAACGGTGGCTACAGCGGAGAAGGAGGCAGGGATGCTACAGCGTCAACGCCGCCGCCGCCGCTGCCACCACTCGGCAGTCTCCACCTCCGTCGCCACAGCCGCCGCCTCCTCCCCCTCCCTCTATTGCTGCTGCCGCTTGGGTCTATTTGTGTATGTCTCTCTCTCTCGCACACGCAGAGCAGGAGCCGACCGGGCTGTAGCCGGTGCAGACTTCCTGAGTTCTTGCTCTAAAATGATTCCCACCCGCCGCGAGAAAGAAACCTCCCTCTCTATCGCCTGCCAGCCTGAACGCTCGCCCGCCGGCTGCTTACCCCTCATGAAGCCACACTCTTGTCCCGATGACAGTTTGCACCTGTTAATGAGACAAAGATTCATTCATACTTATAAAAAAAAATCACACACACGTACACCACACATACACACACCATTATCTAATTCTAATAAAAAATCTAAGGGTTTCCCCATCCTCAGTTTAAAAGAGAGTTGCACTTGTCATTCCCAAATCGAGCAAACTTGTATTTTACACGTGGAAGATGCCCTCTTTAAAACTAATGCAAGTTCTTTTCCCCCTCGTTCCTTAAATATCTTCTCTTCCTGTAACTAATAAATATTTTGAATGGAAATTGATTCTGGAGTTCTTCTGGAAAAAAGTTGAAGCTGCAATCTCTCTATGGCTACTGGACAAGACAAGGGGAACTGGACAAGGAGAATTGTGGTTCTTCAATCTGATGTCCACCATAGATGGATTTCTTCATTTCCTGCCATAAAGGTCTGCCATGTTGGAAAGGGGTTTATGGGAACTGAATTTCAACATACTTTAAAGACACACATTTGGGTAAGTTGGACTATTTCAGTGGGTTGTACACAGAATTTTCTGAGTACATGACTGGAATTGCAACTGGATATGAGTGCTGTAACACAGATGAATCAGGAATATTTTAATTCATGTCATTTATTTTAAAAATCTTACTTTAGAATTATTCATTAACAGAATTAAAGGAAACTTTATACAGATGACTTTTAAATGCACATCTATACTGTCACATTTTATAAATATGTATAAAACCATTATTTTCCGGCTTAAAAAAACATATTTAATATTTTAACAATTCTCAAAATGGACAACACTTTTAAAGTATAAGCATAATATAAAACATACAGCAATTATCTACAAAATCCTTCAATACCAATTCTTTTCAAACAGAATTCAATCATTTTAAACCATCCCTAAAATATCTTTATCCTATTCTGGAACAATTTACTTTTCCATCTACCAGTAATGGTCAATATTTCTTCAAGCTCTGGGTCAGTGACAATTAACCTGAGAAACTGAAGCTGAATGCTTGAGAGGCACCCTTCACAGCTTTATTTCTTTAGAATGTTAATGTTTTTCAAACATTATTGCAATTAATTCCTTTTACTGTATGCTACTATATATGTGTGCTGGAATTTTAATTCACAAAAACAAAGTTTTATGTATTCCACAATCTCCAATAGTTTTCCCCTCCTTGAAAGAGTAAGAGGTTGCAAACCCTAGGGAAGATGAATTCAGCCAGATTTCAGACCCATATGTGATTTACACTAAGCAAAATTATATACTGCTTATTTTTAAAGGAATGGTTAAATATATATTTCTGTCAAAAAAAAAGAATTACATTTACAGTCACAAACAGATCAGACCAAGTTGATAAGAATAGTTCTGAATAACTTCGTAAAAGCAATCTTTATATCTCGGGCAATCCCACAAAAAATTGGTGGATGCCTTTATATATTTGTGGCAACTTTTGATGAAATTGACAAAAAGTCTATTACTAACTTTAGCTTAAGAAAACTAAATTTGTGTTCAGAAAAAACACATCATCTCTATGGGAGTTTTCAACATTTTTTTGCATGAAAATAATTACACCAATCAAACAAAGGTGATTAGCCCTAAGAAAAAAAGATAGTTTTGGGGGTAAAATCTTTAATTTCGATTGAAAGTAGAACTATTTTTTCTCCTTTCTAGGCAAAAAGCTCAATGTCTTTCAAAATTTACAAATTAAGAAAAAGCTTCAACCCTGCCTCCGATAATGGATTCAGCTGTACTTCAGTTCAGATATCTCCTGAATCTGTCCATAACAGCGTAATTGTGGAAATAGTGAATGAGGGATCCAATGTATCTGATACAAGGCCTTATTTCACTGCAGCCAAATTAAAATGAAGATCAAAGATGTCTATTCCATAACACCCCCCCTTTCTCGATATATTAGTTGAAACTGGAAAAAAATAACCCACATTCTTAACCTTCCTATCTTTGTTGCATTCTGTCTCTCCAGTCAATCCATTCAATCTGCTATTGAAATTGTTCATTTACAAATAAGTTGAATATTTTCTTTCAGCTTTAAGCAAGCTTGGAGGATCTTTATCAGTTTCATTAAATAATTTTCCATGTTAGGCTCTAACAGTTCTCTTCAGCTTATTACTGCTACTGTTATCATTATCATCTATATCATCATTATTCCATTAACTGGAAACAGGATGGGAACTGCACACTACTGTTCTTTTGTATCGTATACTATCCACTTTCTTGGTTCTCAATTCTTCCAGAAGGCCAAGAGTCTTTTTAGTATCTCAGTGGCAGTTCGGTTACTCCTTCAAGATGTAGATAATGAATTTGCCCAATGATTAAAATTAAAATCATTTGCCCAATGATTAAAAAAATGTATATTTTTGTATCTTCTCAAAACCACTAATTCTTAATGATCAGAATCAGAAATTTCATTGAGATTGTCGAGCAGTTGGGAAAAAGGTGGTCTGTCATTTTCCGTCTGAAGAAGAAAAAAAAAACAAGGAAAGAGAATTAAATGCTAATAAGTGAGTGCATTAGAATGGCAATAATGAAAAAAAAAGTCTATAGCAAAATAGCATTTTGAATGAGCAGTACATTTTGATGAATTCAAGAGACTATAATGGTGTTCTCCAGTAGCAAATATATTGATGATTGCCCCCCCCCACTTCCTGGAGATGGAGCTATTTGTAACTGATAGGAAAAATCAGAAGGGAAATCCTTAGCAAAGCATTCTGCTATTAGATGAATGGTTCAACTTTACCAGAAAGATATTTAGCCCTATTCTTAAATAAGGATAATTTAAAATCCAAATATAAAATGAGCCCATTCTAAATATTTTTTTTTTTAAAAAACCCACATTTCTGTTAAAGATGAACATTTGCATCTTTTTGGCACTTCCTCATTGATAGAAACTCTTGACAAGGGATCACTTGTAATTTGATAGACACTAAGTCATAGCAATAGCACTTAGCACTTAGACTTATATACAGCTTCATAAGGCTTTACAGCCCTCTAAGTGGTTTACAGAGTCAGCATATTGCCCCAACAATCTGGGTCCTCATTTTACCAACTTTGGAAGGATGGAAAGCTGAGCCAACCATGAGCCGGTGAGAATCAAACTGCTGAATTGCTGTCAGCAGAAATAGCCTGTAGTACTGCATTCTAACCACTGCGCCACCACAGCTTTTAGTAACCTTATATATGGTCCCTATACCTTAGTAAGAGTATGTGTAGTTTAATTATTACATTTTTTTTCAATAATAAAATTTACAGATAACAACTTAGTTATAGCCTTAAAAAACTCTTGGTAATATCAGCTAATGTTCTTAAATAGAGATATACTGCCTGTGCAAATGTCCACCTGGAACTGTGATTTGACATTTGACAATTGCTTTTATTTGTTTATTTTTTTTTGGGTAAGCAACATGTTGAAGCCTTATAGTCAGATATCATTGAAAATCTTCAAAATAGAGCATCTTCCGGAATCTTGGTGGATATCCTATGCTGTTATTATAATCCCACTCGATTTTAACATTATATTTGCTCTCCTTCAAGATCCAGTACAAAATTGCAAACAAAATGTTATAGATTTTAAAAACTTCTGTTATATTTGACTAATTAAAGACTCAATATATAAGTTGTTTTTAAAATACATTTTAAGCTTCAAGTTAATCCCCGCCCCCTACATTTTTCAGTAGTGCTGTATAAAGCTTTTTGAAAACTGATTTTATAGATGGCAGCTCATATCCAATTTCAAACATTAATCTGACTTAAATTCCCTGGGTTCATGAGAAACAATTAGAGAAATACCAAGGCTATAGGCTAGATAGAAAGTCAAAAAATGGCATTTTTTGAGAAACATTTTCTTTACTGTTGTCAAAAAACACTCTACAGTCAGGTTGATGAAGTCACCATGAGTTGGGTATGATTCAATGGAGAATATACTACTTAATTCTTACATCTTTCTTGCATGAAATATGATGCACTAACCTCATTCCAACAATGTTGCATAAGTTTATAAATGGTATTGGAAGCAATTCTGGGTTTATACAAACGCAAGCCAGCACTGACTTCTTCCACCACCTCAGCATTTGTCCGATTCTCATAAGGAATTTTGCCTTCAGTAAATACTTCCCACATCAATACTCCTGAAATAAGAAAGGATACATAATTTATTAAGAATAGCATAACAATGTCCACAACTCCGTGTTTCTCAAATAACTTAATGTTCTGATCTGTTGCTTAAATAGACATTTTTTTCAGTGAGATTCACAATTTAATCCTATATATGATTGCAGAAAATTTCATTAAGTTTAAAGGAACTTTCCCCCAAATTAAGATATACGGTTGCATATTGGTTAGTCATCCTATTGAAATAATATTAGCAGGCTCCAGATTGTCAACAGATTGTGAGCTTGCTTTTGATCATATATTCATATGTTGTTTGTTCACTGTTACTTACTATTACTACACGCCCCCTCCTCCCTAATTCTGCTGTTCTGTGTATTGTGGTGGCAGCAGAGGAGGGTGGTATTACTAGGTGAGATGAGTGAAGAATGCCAGAAATGTGTCAAGGGAATATAATCCTAATAGGGTCATTTAAGGCATGGTGATAATCCTAGCTGCCCTGCTAAAACAAGCAGGCCTCCATATTGGGCAGTGGTGATAGAAGAAGATACTAGAAGCAGATGATCACTTTAGTGACAACAGCAAAGGATCTTTTCATACTGGCAGGAAAAGGCAATTATCAAACTACATGTGCACAAGGGTAGACATTTAATGTGAAAGACAATACAATGCCAAATGACGGCCCTTCTCAGGTCACATGGCACTCAACACACTATCGAGGAAGAGCTGCGGATCTTTCAGGGTACTAATGATTAGATTAAAGCCTCAGGACATTTAGTTGGTGATGTTTCCATGGAAGAAAAGAAAATCTGAAGCTACAAAGATAGAATTACAATGGAAGCATAAAATGTAAGAAGCATAAGCATGGGAAAGCACCATACAGTGGAGAATGAAATGAATCACTTACACATTGACATTTTAAGCATCAGCAAATCAACACTTTCAGTCAGAAGTCTATACTACAGCTAGTCTTCATTTAGCAACTGACTTCTTTAGCAACTCTTTCAAATTATCACAGTGATGAAAAATTAACTTTGTATAGCCCTTGCATTTACAATCTTTGCAGGTAATGCTCAAGTTCCAAGTTAAACTAAAATGGAAACAGAAAACTAACCAGTTTCCATAATATGATATTGACCGTGTACCCATTATTTTCAAGAACATTAGGAATTATTTTGAAATCCTGAATCTCACCAATAAGGAACCTTAGGAATTGTGGAATGAATTTGAAGATGTTAAGGATGAATGTGAAAAGAGACTGCCAAAGACCAAGTAACAAAAAGAAAGAAGGAAAGAAGAAAAGTAAAGAAAGGAATCAAATCAGTTGTCAGAATAAACAATCGAAATTGCCAAGAAGAGAATAAAAAGTTTCAGAAAACTGTTAGAAGAAACAAGAAGTAACATTACAACAATATCTGTAAAGACACTATGGAAACAGATATGAACAAACAAGGAAAGCTTCCCCAAAACCTCCAAATTCAAGAATTTCCAACTTGAAATGGTGTGATAAAAGACACCAATAGACAAGCAGTAACTGATTTGAAAAAAGGTCAAACAAAAAATAGAAGGAGTGTACTAAAGTTTTGTACAATAGAGATGTCAACATCCAAGATACTGAAGAAGATATTTCATACTTTCACGATCCTCTCATATTAGAAGATGAAGTTAACAGCACTTTCCTCATTATCAATTTGGAAGGCTATGGGAATTGCTGGAATATTTATAGAATTGTGGCAAACAACTGAAAAAGATGCAGTAAAGATTCTAGCCAAACTACACCATCAAATCTAGAGAACAACATAGAAGTCAACAGACTGGAAGAGGTCAGTCTTTATATCAATAACAAAGAAATGTTCAAAGTATATAAATACTCCTCAACTTCCCATCCTAACAAAACAATGCTTACATGGAAGAAGAGATGTACACATGCATGTGGCGGCCAGTTGCTCTTCTGGGTTGCGTCGTGCACATGCATGCTGGACAGCTGGTCTGGCACGCATGCACATCGGCCAGCTGTTTTCTTCTGGGTTCCGGCCCGCCACCTGGTCTTCATGTGAAAACCAGCTGGCCAGCAATGCAGGAACTCAGAAGAAAGCAGCTAGTCAGTGAGCATGCATGCCAGACCAGCTGGCCGATGTGCATGTGTGTGACAGAACCCAGAAGAGTACCTGGCGATAATGCATGTACCCACAGAGAGGGCTCTGTGTGCCACCTCTGGCACACGTGCCAATTATGTGACTGGGAAGTTTGTTGTTCAAGTCTCTTACCAAATGACCATACATCCGACTTGGTGCTATAGCGGTTATAGGAAAAAACCTCTGGTGCTGACCACCTGATGGGGAATTTACTACCAATGGAACTGTTATATACATCAAGAACATACCTAAAAGAGATAGATTTGTTTAAAGTATTTAAACAGTAATTTTAATGGCATAGCTCATGCATGAAAAACAAAAGATTAAAATCTCAGACTGTTACTGAATCATTAATCTGAAACCATGAGTTATAATGATATAGGAGACTATCTTTTTATACTTGATCCACAGCAATAATAGAACAGGGATACATACATACATACATACATACATACATACATACATACATACATACATACATACATACACACACACACACACACACACACACACA